TCCAAAGTATGCGCTGATTTATTTATCCTTAGTTTTACCTCATCTGTTTCTCTCTCTCCTCCCTGCCCATCTTATTTTAAACACAAGGTGAATCATTCTCTAATACCCAAGACTAATCAAAATGGTATAAGACCAGGTTCGGCTATGAAATGGAGAATGATTTGGGTCCCTGTGTAGCTGAACTACTCCATCATTCGTCATTGTTCCCTCCTTGGGTCAAAGGTTACCCAACTCTTGCCACAAAGTTTGATGCAGAGGAATTACCCTGGGAACAATGCCCTGGAACCAAAGAAATATTATCTATATAACCTTCAAACACTATTCTATATCATTTACGATAGTTGAAATTAAAAATTCAGGCTGCACAATTAATCAAAATGTAATCGAAATTGCAATATGGTCATGTGCAATATCCAAATTGCAGGAGCTGCACAAAATCACAAGAGTTGTTGATAAAGGTAAAATGTGTCACAACATTGTTGTGCATTGTGAGCAACATATGTGCTGTGGTGCTATAGAGACACCCCGGCCTAAAAATCATATTCTCCAGACATAAAGGAACATGTTTGTTTGGTACAAGACCCAACAAAAATCACATCATCACTATCTTACATTTTTTTCAGTGAAAATTAAATGCTAAATCACAATTGCAAGAGCTGCCAAAATAATCAAGATATGATTTTTTTTTTTTTTGCATATGCAGCCCTATTAGAAATATAATATTATTGTCTTAAAAATAGATTACCTTAATTATTATTAACCATGAAACAGGTCGTTTAAAAAACTAAAACAATGTGTGCTCATTTTTATTAATTATGTCACACTTTCTAAACTCTTTTTATATCAATGTTATCACTGCGGAGATTATGACAAAGGGCCAGTGTGTGTTTTTCTTGCAGAGGTACATTAGTGGATTATTGCTGTGGTGAAGGTGTTTTCTTTACCTTTTCTACATCACTTACCTGTGAAAACTAATATCACAATGGCCCCAATGTGTCGATGAAACTTGTTTGTAAACTATATGTGTGTATGCTGTACTTAAACAGTTTTTTCTACATTTTATATAACATGGCAATTTTATAATTTCCATGGGGGAAAAATCATTATAAAATAAATACAAAAACATTAAAGTGTGTTTATTTTTTTTACAGCAGCTTGCGACATGCTAGTGTGTTAGAAAACTGTCAGAGGTATGTGTGCACAGTGTTGCTCCACTCCTGGTCAAACAATGAATTTAACACCAGCAAGTCACTTCTCAACAATGAAATTTAATGGGAACCCATACAGAGTTGCCGTGAGTAGTGAAAAAACCAACGTGGTATTTTCATTTCTCTTCTGGTATTACATAAAATGTCAAAATAGTTACAGCTGATTATGGAGCAGTTTTACCATTAAAAAAAATTCTCAGCTGCACTGAGCTAAAGTCATTGAAAATGAAACGAAAATGACTCCTTGGCATGAAACCAAAGCAAAAGAGATTGTTGCTGTCTTCAGGTCCTTTGGACAAATTGGAAGCATATTACTTTTTTTGTTACCTTCTTGACATTGTACTTCCACATTAATTTAGATGAAAATGGCATCCAACCTGAATCTCTCAATTTCCCTTTTCCACAAGTGCTCTTAATTGCTTTATTGCAGAGAGCATAAATGATATCATTTCTTCATAATGAACAAATTTAGCTGCTGTTTTCCCTCTTGTTTGACAGTTACTTTTTGCAAAAACAGGTGAAACAAAACCTTTCTGCAATAAATATATTTTTAGTTCAGTGGGAAAAATCTGAGGTTTTGAGAGCAGACACATGCAGTTTCAAGCAAACAATAACAAATAATCCCTCAACAGCTGATGTACAGTAGATTAGGTCTGTGCTCACTGGCAATGTACACTGATGTTGTGTGCCAACTGTAGCATGCTCACAGGCTCAAACTGCTCCAACAATAATATGTCCAAAATTTTTCACACATCATAACTTTTTATTTTTACTCTTTGGACTGAAGCAAATGATTTAATTTGTGGAATACCTTTTAAGTATCAGCAGATTCAAACATGTCTGCGCGTGCCAATTTGTTTTGTTTGGAGCACAAGATGAACTGGGACAGCAGGCTCGCCTTTGGGAGAACAATTTGTTTGCTTGTTAGCTTTAAGATCCTGTTTAATTTAGATGCACAAATCTGGCAGTGGCATGAACTCCAACTCAGGGCCTCTGGGAGGAGGGGCAGAAGCCAAGTGAAGCTCTTCCAATCCAGCCCGTTTGGTGAGCCTTGTGCATCACACACACCAAAGGAATGTGTGTCATTTGTTAATTTTATTACTTTGTGTAATTCCACTGAGCTGAGAGCATGTCTTGCTTCCCCGTCTGCTTTGTGACAAAAATGGTTAAAGAGATTTTCTGAGTGTGTTTGTGTATTTTTGTCTGGCAGTCAAAAGGCCCACAATCGGCAGCTTAAATGAACACTGTGGCACTTAAAATGTGATTCATTTAATCCTGTGAAGTCTCAGACAAATCTAGTCCAGCCCAACTCTAAGTGCCGACCGCAGTAATTGCTGCGAGTGTTTTGTCCCCCTGCCGTTTAAATGAAAGGTGTGATGCACTTTATCAGCAAATAGAAGAAATAGCCTCTGAGAAGGCAGGTAGGTGTGTTTTGACTGCAAAACATCTGTGGAAGAGGATTAATGTTTGTGGACGATAAATAACCTGATTAGAAACCTTTTGATCCAAATTAAGCTAATCAAGCTTTTAAAACTGCAAATGTTTAAAATAGCCACAAAGCCACGAACTTGGCTTTACTTTTAAAGTTAAAGACATACACACACGCTCATCGTGTTTGATGGAGTATATCTGGTCAACATCACATTATAGGTCAGTGTCCTAATACATTCATTACCTGCAACAAGGTTATGTTTTCACCCGTGTCTGCTGGTTTGTTTGTTTGTCAGCAGGATTATGCTACTGAACTACTGAATCGATTTGCACCGAACTTGGCTGAGCGATGGGGCACGGGCCAAGGAAGAACCCATTCAATTTTGGGGCAGATGTGGATCATTTCCGAAGAATTTGTTTTTTTTTCTCTGAAGACTGGTCTATGTTGTTTGACTTTGGCCTTGGTGGCCTCTGAGTTCTGTATTTGCATTTAGATATATCTAAATATGTTTTAAACTTTGCAGTTCTACACTGCTTTTTGTTGATTATTATGATTTTCTAGGCTCCACATAGATTGTATATGTTTTATGCTTACAATGCTCACGGTTCTCAACAGCTCACCAAATATAATTGTTGACTGCTGCTCTCTCCAGACAAGCACAGGCAGGCCAACTGCACAGATACTGCTGGTATAGTAAGTCAAGCATCTACTTGTCAAACATACAATATAGAAAAAAAGTACATAATGTCAAAAAGCACAAAGGTGCAGGTGCATTTACCACTCTATATGCAATAAATGGTCCGTTTATTGTGAATAGACTGATAAATGCACTTGTATGTTTGCACAGTTTGACATAATGAGGCTTTGCGGTGTTGGATATTATAATCGAGAACTGAACAGCAACTGCCATTAACCACTGTGTATTTCATCTCTGTTCAGTCATTATCAAATTTGTGTTTTTAAGTTGTGTTTTATGAGCACAATTTATATTTTGAATTTAATTTAACTGAACTGACTCTGAAAGAGCCAGAGACTAAAGCAGTGCAACAGTAAAAGATGACTGAGTGTTGGACTTGAATTCAGGTGGCCATAAACACAACTGCAAACTCTGTGTCTGCTTTGTTGTGTGCTTACCGGCTTATTGTCAAATTGTCTACTAAGCTGCTCTATTTATTCATCTATTTATTATTATGGTTGTGTTGTGTTAAAGAGGCATACAGTGCAGTTGCTGCTGAGACAATTAGTTGATTTAAGTCAATCCAAAAATTAATCAAAAGCATTTTTAGAGTCACTTCATTGCTGAAGCCATTTATCAGTCAAAATATTTGCTGATTCCAGCTTTGTCAATTAGATGTGACGATATTTGGACTGTTTGTCAGATAGAAGTGCTTATTTCACAATTTTCAAAACTTTAAAAAATTTTCAAAAATAATGTAGTTGCAGCACAGCTTTAAAATATCTTTCTTGTGGCATGCCCTGCCCTGTATGACAGAAGCTCTCAAAAACATTTCGACTCACAGAAACTGCAACTTTTGTTCCAGCATAATCGCTCTGTTTCTGTCTATACTGCAGAGCACTAAGTACAGTAGCCACCTGTAATTCTGTAAACCTCTCATGCACATAACAGTGAACCCCTCATTTTGCTGGTGACCCCAGGGCTCATCCTCAAGGACCCATCAGAGCCCCCAGAGCCCACTTGGAGAACAAGTGGCTTCTTGTGCACTTCGAAGAATGGCGTATAGGTAGGTCACACATAGACATCGTCTCTCAGATCATATATTGTACCTGCAGAATAGTGTTTCAGGTTGTGCCAACGCCCCCTGGCTGCGTTCAGGAGAGTTGCAGCCTCGAAGGGTTTCCGTCCACAGCTTTTCCTCCCCGAAGCTCGCCTTTCATGTCACTAGTGCGACTTGTATGTGCAGACGCAGCCAATCTCTTCCTCATGACGCCACCGAGGCTGGGCTCCGAGGGCTCCGATCATAATATTTAACACACCCACCCTGGATGAACACTTGGAAGGAAGACAAGGCAGTGTTAAGAGGACAAATGACAAACAGGATCCCTGCACCTGCCAGCCAGTCCCTGATTCGACTTCAACGAGGCTCGCAGACAGCAGCAGCTCTTGTCAAGAAGCGGGACAGCATCCAAGCATCTCGCGGATCACCTGTTATTTTCGTGGAATTTTCATTTGCTTTTTTTTTTGTTTGTTTGTTTTTTTTTTGGTTACAAATTAATCCTTAACAGGCTACCAGGGAGGCTCTGTTTTATGGACTAAATCAATCTCTCTCGTTACTTCCCACCCCCCCACCCCCGAAAGACAGTTAAGACACATTTGACATCTCACTCCGTGCTGGCAGCAACACAAGGAAGCAGGTTTGAGGAAGAATATCGGTGCTTTTAACAGGACCCCCCACCCCCCTTCCCTCATGTTACCTCTTCTTTAACGATTTATTTAGTGCTCCGTCCTCCTTACACTGAATTTCAACAACGCAGTGTATGAAGAGCACTTTCTGAGCCGCTGCCAGTGAAGTATCCAGAGCCCACAATGTGTCGGTCTGTCCACCTGTCTGGGAAGAATTGGGACTATTGTAAAAAATAAAGACTGGGCGCATGATGGAGTTTTTAACATAGGCTGGCACGCATTATGTTTGCAATGATCATAGTAAATCCTCAAACCAACATCGCTGCTTTGTCATCGAATAACACTGTTATTGGACATCAGTGTCGGTGCAGTAAGGTGCGCTGCGCTTAAAGCTTACTCAGTGTAAAGAAAACATGATAAAGATGATATTGTTCCGTAAATTCAGAGTGCTGATACTCATGGTGTTCTTGGTAGCGTGCACCATGCATATCATGATAGACTTGTTACCCAAACTAGAGAAGCGGGCGGCGGGAGCGGACAGCGGGGACGGCGGCTGTCAGTGCGCTCATCACCCGGGCGGGGAGTCGCAGGGCTGGGGGAAGCAGCGCGCCAGGTCGGCGGCTGAAGCGGGCTGGCCTAACAAGCACACGCTGAGAATCCTGCAGGATTTCAGCAACGAGCCAAGCTCCAACCTCACGTCCCATTCCCTGGAAAAGATCACGGCAGCCGGGGACAGAGCGGACTCCTTCAGGCGGATGAGACCGTCGGTGCGGAAGGCGGAGGACCACAAGCCGCTCATCGGAGACGCAAGTGGGGGTCGGACCGTCCCTGCCCACGGTGTCTCCCGACTGTCTGCTCTGTTTGAGCATCCCTTATACAAGGTTGACCTTCCTCCACTCACGGACGATGACACTTTGTTTAACGTCAACACTGACATCAGGTTTTATCCAAGAGCAGCAGGGAACCAAGGATGGTAAGATGATGGGAATATGTTAAAGTTAAAGGGTTACAAGTGGGACAGTGAACAGTCAGACTGCCCTCAACATATGTGATTGGTGATGAGAAGGTTGAGTTTGGCATGTGAGTAAGTAGCCTACTGCAGTTCCATCAGCTTTTATGTTTTTTAAGGTTTCGATGCTGTTTGAAACAAGTTCATGCTGCCTTACATTCGCACAGGCCTACAAATATCTATCTATCTATCATCTATCTATCTATCTATCTATCTATCTATCTATCTATCTATCTATCTATCTATCTATCTATCTATGTATCTATCTATCGATCTATCTATCTATTTATCTATCTGTCTGTCTATCTATCTGTCTATCTATATGTCATCATCCAGCAGACAGGTCCTTCCATCCATCCTGTCAGTTTCTGTCTCTCCTCTGCCTCCAGTATAATGTCCACTCATCCATCTGCTGCATCCACTCATCTCTATCATCTCTATTGTCATTCCACTTTGTCCATTTGAGCATGCAACTCGAGTTACCATCCTGCTGGATTTTTAAACATGCTTGGATTATCGGAAGTCAGTGTGGCTGCATTTTAACCATATATTCATTAAGTGTGTGCGTGTTATTAAGATGGAGTGTGGTGTGCCAGTTCCTTCAGCATCATTTAGTCTGATACAGTTAGAGACTGCAAGAAATACTGTAACCATCTATTACATACACTAAAAATAATCTTAACAGGAATCTGCTTGCACCACAACTTCTCGTTAAGCCTTCTCTCCTCTCCTCTCCTCTCTTCTCCTCTCCTCTCTTCTCCTCTCCTCTCCTCTCCTCGTTTTCAGGCACAATGAGCAGGGGAACGAGGAGGAGGAGGAGTTCTCTCCAACGGGGGAGGTGACCGCAGAATCGTACCCCAACTGGCTACGTTTCCACATTGGGATCAACCGCTATGAGTTGTATGCCAGACACAGTCCTGTGCTGGACGCCTTACTGAAGGACCTGGTCACACAGAGAATCACTAGCGTGGGTGAGTCAGTCAGGGAGAGCTTTGTTACCAAGGTGTGTCTATGTGTGTGTTGTGTGTGGAGTGCAGGTGATACTAGGATGTATGGTACCATATATGTGCACAGGTTAGCATAAGTATGAGGCCAATATTGATTATTTGTTTATTGATTATTTACAATGATGTCGACCAGTTCAAAAAGAACATCAATTAAAACAAACATATAAATTCAATTAATAAATAATGTGATGACAAGAATCAATTAAAACAGGTACAAACAAATGGAAAGGTTAGAGATTAAGAATCTAAAATGAGCAAGAGGCCCCAACAAATTCATTTTTAAAGTGCTGTGTAGTGAGTTCCAGTCGGATGGTGCAAAGAAGCCAAATGCAGTTCTTCCAAGCTCTGTGTGAAGTCGAGGGACATGGAGTGTGTGCCAGGGAATAGTCCTGGTGTAATATGGTCCAGAGGACCGAACTAACATAGATGTTAGATATGAAGTTTTTCAATGAAGGCTTTCTAAATAAACAAACACATATGCAAATCACGCCTCTCGGTGAGAGAGGACCATCCCACTTTTTTATACAGGATGCAATGATGAGTATTATAAGCTTCACCAGTAATGAACCTGAGAGCAGAGTGGTAGACAGCATCAAGGGGTTTTAGAGTTGCAGCCGAAGCATGACTGTACAAGATGTCACCGTAATCTAAATCTGATTTTAAAAAGCTTGCTTCAACAAGAGTTTTTCTACAATGCAAAGGGAAGCAGGATTTATTCCTAAAGAAAAATCCAATCTTTTGCCTTAATTTACTCACCATATTTGTTATGATTCTTAAAGGATAACCTCTCATCAATCCAAATGCCAAGATTTTTGTGTGGCACGACTCAGTATGTAATATTAGCTATTGACCTGTGTGTTGTTCTGCATTAGTGTGATGGAGTTTTGGTTCTTACTCCTGCAGTTAATCTTTTGACATTTATTCACATAACAGTTCAACTGTCAGTTTAACTGATACAAGTTTTAGTTTCCTAACATATAAATGCAACTAAAATTATGCACGGTAAATACACCAAAGAGTATTTGTACTTTTGGTATTAAAAAACTCAAACCAGTTAAACCCTAGTGTGAGATCTGAGCGTACCATGAATCACAATAAGAGTGTGAAGCCACAGTCACACACATCTGGTTCTTTACCTTCACTTCTCCTTGTGTGTGCGTGTTTATGAAATCTGTGTTCAGCTGCCTTTTCCCCACCGTGGTTTGACATAGATCCTAACAATCTATGTTTATCAAATAATGTGGGTGTGTCAGTGTGTGAGAGAAAATTGTGTGTGTGGGCCGGCATGCTGGTTAAGATGTGCGTTAGCACTGCTGGATGACTTAATTGTTAGTGATGATATACTGGGAAGTTTTGTTTGTGTAGAAGCTGTGATTTCATTCAAAGACATTCAAGAGTTTAAGTCCCCTAAGAGAAATAAAAGAAACATGACTAAAAAAGAAAACTTTACAAAGCTACTAAACATTTCTACATGAACTTATAATGGCAAAGTAAAGGGAAGGAACGTTTGAGAAGAATTTGCTTCTACAAAGTCTGAATGTGTAAACATTGATTTCTTTCTTAAACATCCATTGCTGTCTGTCATTTGCAGATACTTTGCTTTTAAAGCAGCCATGAAATCAGTGCAAATTCTTTTCAGAAGTGAGTGAACTTGGGCATCAAGACATCAGACTGTGGCTGCAGAAAGTAAAAATGTGCCACGACAAAGAAGTAGCACTAAAGACAAGTCTTCTCTGCAAGTTGTAAAAGCAAGCTTGACTGTATCTGATCTGCATCATTCTCCATTGTTTTTTTCTGCACTGATGAATGATGCACTGTAGATGTACTTCACTTCAGTTTTAACTGCTAATTATATTGATTGACCATGTTGGCCCAATCTTTAAGAAAGGGAACTTGTCTCTGTGTGAAAATATTGGAGACAAATAGCTGTGACTAATAACCATAACCACAATACTAACTGAAATAGTTAGGAATATTATTTTTGCTATACTGTTTTTCTCTGCTGGTGTGTGTTGGTTATCCGTATCGGCTGTCGCATTGTTATTAGTCCCTCCATCTCTCGCGGGCAGCTCACCATCATTCACACTACACATCTCAGCCTGCACTTCAGTAGTTTGTGTGTGTTTTTGTCCCCTAGTATATAAACCATCAATCTGTGCCCAGACACACCTATAAAAACACTGTCTGTGAAAACCCAGTGCGGTGTGTGTGTTTGTGTGTGTGTGTGTCTGGAAGCATGCATTACAGCTTTTGTGCCCCATAATTGGTGCACACACTTACCACTTATCTGTCTCACTAAAATTACAAAACAGAGACAGCATTAGAAAGTTTCCCTGTTCAGCACTTTCTCCGCAATAGCGCTCCTCTCTCTCTCTCTCTCTCTCTCTCTCTCTCTCTCTCTCTCTCTCCCCCTCCCTCCCTCTCTTCCCTCCCTCTGTGTCTGTCTCTCTGTTGGGGCAGGCTGTGGCCTTTTGTTCAGTCTTCAGCTGGACTCATAAATCATATGCGCAGTACAGTGAGGCGGCTCAGGTGAGAGCAGGATGGATTTATCATCGAAGCACGGGAGGGGGAATCTTGATGGTGGTGGGCGGATGGGGCTCGGAGCGTTTGTGAAAGACCAGAGAACGTGAAGGTGTAGAGGCACAGACAGACAGGGACATTGATTCATCTGTGGACGCGTGGAGGAACGGAGCGAGAGATAGATGGTTAGATCAACAGAAACTCACGCATTCACTGGCAGATACTGAGATGGATGGCCTTTAGGAGAATCAAAAAGAACATCTTGTTGAAGATCACTGTTGTTCATGTTTGGTTGCATGTCAGCGCAGATACAATCCACAGAAACAATCAGCTGAGCTTTGCCTGGCTTTTCCACAGGGGATTACCTTTTGTAGTTTTTGATTAGAAACTAAATTTTATAAACAGCCAGTACCAAGCAGTGAATTGAGGTCAGCTCCTCAAGGATTGTGGCTTACGGGTTCAAGGTCACAGCATTACATCAAACATAGTTGAGTCAATTGCAATCTCTCAAAGGTTTTAGGCTTGATGTATAGCTATAGCAAGTTTAAAGATTACTCCGGGGCACCATCCACTTGACCTGACTTCAGCAAATCTGGCGCATGTGTAGGACTAATACTCTCAGTGTATTCTCTGGCTTTGATTTCACCCAGTATCCATCCTCTGTCGTAAAGGAAAGGCACTGGCCTGAGGTTATGTAGGTTGTACTTTGTGCAACAGTGTATGTAAAATTCAAAAGCTTTTGAAAATGAGTCACGGTAAATGGGGAGGCTTGCCAGCGGTGAGTAAGATTAAGTGAGACAGACAGAGCATAACAGAGAGAATACGAGTAAGTGGATGACATATACAAACAAAAAAAAAGAAAAAACATGCAGAGGAACAAACTGAGAGAACTCTGAGAGGAACAGCAAGAAAGTCAATAAACACTAAAGACAGCTCTGAGCAGGGGGTAGAGTGCAGCCATCTCCTCAGCCAGCAAGCCAGTCAGTAAGTGGGTCCACTACAGGGGGCTTATGTTGATATTGGGGTTAGGCAGAAGTCCCGTGTTGTGTAATATGCTCAAGTTAATGCGCTGTAATAAATGGGCAAATCCCCCCAAAATCCTGTCCATTATGACAGAAACACAGGACATTTAGACAGGCCTTACCGTCCCTTTTGTTTGAGTCGGGCGGAGGCAGGAAGCTCTCCTTCAGCCTCTTGGAGACATGAGTGATAGTCAGAGACATGTGCCATGGCTCCTCTCTGTCCCAGGGTTGGCTACATAAGGTCAGTTTGTGGGAGCGAGAGGGGAAGCGGTCACACAGTGTGTTACAGTCTATGGAGGCTCACAGAGAAGCATCAGTAGGGAACAATTTAAGTTTAGATTTTTATTGAAGCAAAGTGTTTTAAGTCATAGAATAAATGCAATCTATTATTATGCTGCCGAATTGTAGTTTCAGTGGACTTTCACTCATGCACTGTGGATTTTCTCTCTGTCTCAAAGTCACAGTCACGCTGTTACGCTCTGAAAAATTGTCCATTTCCATGTTCATCCCTCCATCAAGCCCAGAACCAGTCATGTATTAGTTTTCAGCAGATGCTTTTTCACAGTCACACCCAGCTCCTAACTGCCACGGTAGCACTTTGATTGTACAGTGCCTGGCAAATTGGTCAGCAGATGTGATAGCTCTATTATGCATTCATGCAAAATTGCGTTCTCCAAATTGGCAAATAAGGGAACAGCTGTGCATATGTGCGAGTGTATCTGTGTGTATTTATGTTTATGCGTATGTGTATTTATGTGTGTGTGTGTGTGTTAATGCTTTAAACGGTTTACACGATGATCTGACATCTCCATTGTTTTCTTCCCAGCCATGAAATCAGGAGGCACCCAGCTGAAGCTGATCATGACTTTCCAGAACTATGGACAAGCGCTATTCAAGCCTATGAAGTAAGTAGCACAGCAGCTGAATGTATGAGAGCACAGTTAAACTACACTGACATATTAGACTACCCGGTATCCTCTGTGTATTGCAGATATTATTATCATTGTTGGAGTACCCATGGTAAAAACATCTAACAGCACTTTCCTGGCTTTCCTAAACACCCCCCCCAACCCAATAACTAACATCAAAAATCTGTTCGATACACTTGGTTTGATGCACCCACTTGTAATGCATATGTTTCAAGAGGGCTACACAAAATCTCATCTGAATAAGTGCCAAGCGCTGCCGATGCATCTTTCGGTGTGTTCAGATACACAGCTCTCCCCTCTGTGTGATCTTTTTCTGATGGGGAATCGTCTGTCTGCTTTTTAATTAACATCAACAGGCTTATGTGTTAATTAAAATGAGCACTGAGCCGTCGTGAAGGCGTCTTTGGGGAGGCATATATGCTGGCAAAGACGCATTGCACATGAAAAAGAAACACCCTCCCTCTCAGCTGTCGGGGATTTTTGCCCGATAGATCCCTCATGCCAACAGGGATAAACAATGTCCAGGTCAACTGGGCTGCAATCACAAGTAATTGCTCAGGAACCTGGTTTGATTGCTATGAAATGCAGAATGGTTTTTCTGCATGGGAGCCTCGGTGGAGAGTATTAGATTGTGGAAGAAAGAGATGGAGACAGAGGGAAAGAGGTAGTGACAGATAGAGGGGATGCTTTTGTGTGAGTGATGCTTGCCAAAGCTCAAAGCGTCGTATCATGACGACCGGCACAGGTATAGATTGTGATTTTTCTTTATTTCAAGTGAACCAAGCCCATTACCATACCATCCAAAGTCACATTAGTAGGAGGATAAGGAGTCCAGGCCTGGGAGTTCAACATCAACTTGAAAATGAATGATGAAATGTTGCTGCTGAATATCTTTTCACTGTCGGGGCTTGATTTATGAAGAGGCTGCAGTTTATTCAAATGTTTATTCACCCAGTGTTTGGTGCTCAAACGCTGTATTCAGCTCAGCTATGAAACTTTATCCCTTCATGTACATCAGCAGCAGTGGCAGTTCAGGATTTTCAACATGTTTAAATGACTCCGTGTCCTAACTTGACATTTCACTTCAAGGTCAATCAGTGGCTGAGTTCTGCAGCCTGTTGGTATATGAGGCATTGTTTACAAAATTGGCCTCAGAGAATATGGTCCAAACAATGGCAATCTGAGCATCTTTTATAGCCCTCATGCACGCAAACCTTTCAAGTCAACAGCAGCACCCAGCAGGCATCATCGGGCGTAATCATATCTAACAAGAACTGAGATTACCCTGCGTTTGTATGTGTGTGTCTGTGTGGGTATTTTTGAGTAGCTATTAGACTGGACTGGACATTCGGGGGCTGCTTCGAGGCAGCATGGACAATTGGACAATATGTGCACATGCATGAGTGTAGTATGTGTGCGTGTCATCTTAAGGTGTGCTCAGGTCCTGGGCTGGTGCTCAGAGCAGCCTGCGGTGTTAACAGTATAAGGAGGAAGTGGTGCATCATAAATTGTAATCCTGAGTCTTGTGAGTGACATGTAGAGCACAGACTTTATTTATTATTTAAATTTTACTACGACAATACACAATCCCAGTGACAGAATGGTATGTCTGCTGCCACATTTTTCAGTTTACCTTCAGATGATTGAAAGTTTAAAAGTCAGTGACGTTCAGAGTTCAGAGAATCTATAGGGTAGATGAGTAGGGATGAATAAATTACCTGTGCTCTAATTTTCATTTTAAAACTTAAATAATGGTGTAAATGGTGCAGATATTGGACCCTTTGTCCAGTGAACTTGAAAATTTAAAGTGCTGATTTCTCACAGTCCATATATGTAAAAAAGTCTTTCCCAGCTACTGTCACAAACCGTTTTGACAGTAATTACATGTCAGTTTCTGAATTATATGCTACATATTTCTGCAGCTCTTTATTTAGCCTGTCATATTTTATTCAAGCTCCTTGCTTTGACTGTCACTGTCATTTGTCTCCAGTGTTTACGATATCATACAAAAGTCCTCAGAGCAGAAATACAAAAATATCTGAGAGAAATAATGTAGGAAAATAACCTTTGTAATACTTTTGTTAAAGAACCTCGTGAAGTTCTGTTGTTTCATGCCATGGCATTGATGTGTCCCACTTTTATTTTAGGAGCGGTGGTGCATTCTGGGTACAGTAGTTCAGAGTGTTGCTGTGCTGCATTGTTTTTCTTCACCTGTCCCATTGTGCAGCATCAAGTGGTGCTTCAAAAGACTGTTTGATGTTTTAGGCCTCCTTTGAGTCGAATGCAAATCTCTACACTGGCATGGGCCAGGAGACTAAACAGGCTGACAGCTTGCCAGACACCTCCATGCAATGTTTTCTCTGCGCTGCTCTGGGAGAAAAGTTTGGAGCTTCATTTTATCTGTCTGACTAACTCTGTGATTGTGTTTGGTGATTTCAAGACAGGGAAGAAAATGCTCATTTAGTCTTTGAGGTCACAGCGGCCTGTTTCTCCCCCAATGAGGAATAATCTCAGTAATATTTATTATAGTATTTAAAACCCTTTCCCTCCCAAGACTTTCATCTGACAATCAAAAATGTACTCCTCCAAAAATAGTTCCTCATTTGTGGATATTGTAAATCAATTTTAAGAGGCCCGTCTATGAGAAACTGCAGGTATCTGCACTAATCAAAATGCCCTGATTACCAAAAATTAAAAACCGGATGAATCTTAATGATGTCACCATGGGAAAATCTTTCCTTTAGCCAACAAAAATTCATACAAAATAGATTAAATTGGAACTACAGATGGGAATAAAGGACGGCTGTGAGATAAAATGGTCAAAGGCTGTAGAGGAAAAGGGGGAAATGAAGTGGCAAGTGAAAAGAAGGAGGTATTGGAAGACAGATGTGAAGCAGTGACCACAGGGTAAGGGAGCAGTTAGCACTGCCAACCTGTCAAGGAACTGAGTCTTCCAGCTAGAGCCAGGTTACAGGCCGAATGGAGACCCTCCATGCCAGGCCTCGGCATCTGTCTGGCTCATGTCTCTGGTGCCCAGCCTACCCATCCCCTGCCAAGATGCTGGTTGTAGTGTGTATACAGAACCATAATGTTCATGTCATGCTAATTGGATTTGTCAGATGGAGGGTTGAGGGATTGAGGGAGGGGGTAAGCCTCAGATATGCAAAGAAAGAATTAATTTCTCCATCAGGCGCTGTTTGACAAGCCTGTTTCCAGCCCCCTCGCTTTGATTCGGTTGATAGTCTCACAGTTAAAAATGCTTTATGCTTTGCAAAAATAGCAGAAATGACTTTGATCGTCCGTGTTTGTTGTCTACATGCCCCAGTCCTGCCGAGAGCTGTTATATCAACGCACAGGGTTCATTACATGTAAACACGAGTGCTGGAACATATATATAGGGCGCACATGCCCGTCCTTTAGCTCCGTGGGGAATCAGAATACATCCTCATCGGCATGAACCCGATCAGTTTTGACAAGCTTGGGCTTTTGGCGCCAGTAAAGCCAGTGGGATTGGCTGTGGAGCCTCTTAGCTGCAACACCCAAGAGGCTGCTTCATTTTTATCATCCACAGGCTGTTTCATAACCAAAAGTCCATTGGAGTCCTCATCATATCCACTGTTCCCCGGTTGGGTTATGACTGACATTCCTCCATGGATCTTCTCTGTCGGTTAGGGATTCAATTAAGACTGAAAGCATCTAATGTCCTTTAGAGATGGCCTCTCCCTGCTATGGTTATTCATCTGACCAGATTGATGATTTTATTATTGATTTACATGCATTCATGTAAAGTGCAGGAGGAAACAGCTTTTCATAAAGTGTCTTTGATGGCCTGTGGTTTTTATGGCCAGTTTTCACCTACTGCCTACAAATATTTCCTCTATATAAGATTTGCCATTTAATCTTTAATCTCAACCACAGAGGTTTGAGATCCATATGCCTGGATCACAATCCTGTAAACTCGTGACTTCTGATAAAAAGCGCCTGTGGACCAAATGACAGGAAAAGCTGATTGAGTTGTCCCTGTTCACGAAAGCAGTGACGATCATGGATAAAAACACAATGAAATCCGAACAGGAGAGAAGGATAATGGCCTCACATTATGTAGAAGAGCCAAATCTCATCAAGTTTCAGAGGATCCATCGCAATCCTCACAAGTCCCATTGTTAAAAACCTGCGTGCCTCATTTCATGGATAAATACAGCATAATTACATACACATGCATGCATAGGCACACAAACATATGCATGTAAATATATGCATGTGAGGCATCCACTGCACAAACTCACACAAAATCCCCTCCTGAATTCATCATCATAGCTTAACTGACATCTTTCTCACTATTTTAGGCCTGGAAGGGGAAAATACTGTTGAGATTGTAGAATTCTTTTGTTTTTTCTTCTTCTTTGGTAGTCACTTGTCTAACAGTGTTTCACTAAAGAGCTCCCACGAGGGCGATAAGAATGCCGCTGGTTCTCATAAGTTGGACACACTTTTGAAAGGCCCTGAGCTCATTTTTGGGTGTGTGTAAGCAACTTACAATAGACAGCTGTTTCGCACAGCTGCAGCTCTCTCTCTCTCTCTCACACACACACACATACATGCACACACAAGCTGCAAAGAGAAGGACGCTGTGGGGGTTACGGAGTTCGTGCACCCTCCATCACCCAGGGCTGGTACTGGAAAATCCACAAGCAGCGAGCCAAGCCGCAGCTGTAGCGGCTCACTCAGAGCTGTGGGTATATTACACCGAAGGTGATGACTGCGCGTCCACACTCCTCAACTGCACACACAATAGAAAACTAGCTCATTTACTCCCGACCACTCGCCATTTAACACTTCCCTAATGATTTTCACCATGACAAGTCAAAAAGCCTTGAAGCTCACGATGAGACTTTAAATGTGATGAAACGTCAAATCTTTTCACATTAACATCCCTGTCTTATCATCCAAGATGAAGTTTTCGCCCTGACCTCAAT